AAGGCTTGTAAATACAGTATATGTATCTGTGCTGTCAAGCTATTCTCTGTTCAAACCATTCATTGTCGTGCATGGAATTCTGATATGCGAATGAGACTGAAGAAGGGTTCATTGAGCGGTTGGTTCCAGTATGCATAGTTATTTAAACTATTTGATAGGTATGGGACATTCATTCTTCATTTGGAATGGGTTCACTTTCCCTCTCATGCACATGTTTATAAACAAATTTCTGTCATCAGTGGCAGCTGAAGATGACCTTTTAATAACTTGTATTATTGCTGTTTTTATCTCTTTTTGTATTATAATGATCATATTAATGGTATTTGTGGAATGTTTTCATGATTCATATCTCAACTATGATTCTAAGTATTTGTTTTATTGGCATTGGTCTGATCACATCCCACTAAATAAAACCCATCTGGAATTATTTTATTGATGTGTTCTACAGAGTCTTTTTCATCTGTTATGCTTTAGAGTCCTGTGTCTTTTTCTGGAAAGCCATTTCTGTGTGGAGAATGTGGCATGATCGTTGAAATCAAATCCTTTTTTGGTTCAAGCATTGAAAGTGCCTGAAACCATGTATGAACACAATCTTAAAAGGGGATGTCAATGTTATAATGATGTTAGCTTATGTGTCAGTGATTACATCTAGGAAATAAATAATAGAAGTAAAATGATATATAAGTGTCATTACTTTATTAATGAAGCCCTACCCTATGAAGGTACTCTCATTTTATCACAGACTCAACTTCCTGGTATGAAAGACAAAAACAAATATTGCACTTTTATGTAACCATTTCATATCTGCTTTTCTAAAGCATGGTGGTAATTGAGCTATTCTCCTCATATCGAAGGTATAGCAAAAAAAAAAAAATTGTTATGTGATTAAGACGTTCCATACTCCACACTATACATCATAAACAAAAAAATGGCATTGCGATCACCAGCTTTCAAACACTTTTGCTTTAGCTCAATTTTATGGAGGTGTTCTGTTTGGATATTTTGACCAACCCTTTTACTGTATTTACATTACAGACTTGTGAATGCCCATTATATTGGAAAGCACCTTTATTTAAAGCAGCTGGTGGAGAAGATGCTACTGTAAATAGTTTTATATCTATGTGGCAAAAGTAAGTAATCGTTTGAGTGAGTTACAAGTAGCTGATATTGTCTCACATTTAAAGCGTTATAGATTTTTTTTTCTCCGATTTTTGTTTTTAATAAAACATTTTTTATGTGCGTCACAATTTTCTATGGTAACGTCTTCATGTGGTAGATTTTAATGAAATGGCGACTACTCAACCCTTAGTTTCCACATTGCATTTTTGTTACATCAGCCTTGTTCAGGGTCACTTTGCCCATGCAATTATTTCTAATAATATTAGATGATAATATTTTTGTCATCTTTAAACAAAAAAATGTAATGTATTTTTCACAGCTATTGTTGTTTTAACAACAAACTTTACCACCTGACTGTCCAACAGCCTATCATATTTACTGCAAGTGTTTGCTTCATTTTGGTATCAGTGTTTAAGATAGTGATTATTCTGTTACTTGCATCTCAAATTCATTATTATTATTATAGCAAAAATCTACCTTGCCTTGCACATATACATGTATGTATTTTCTCTATTAGTAAAGTAAGTAAATTACAGAAGTGTTTCTGTGTCCAAAATAAGCTATATTTTAATAATTCAGTATAAAAATATTAAATCTGATTTGTGGTTCATATGCGCTTATATTAGAGATGCGCTTCTAATAGACTAAATATGGCATACTTATTAAAAAAAAAATGTATGTAACATTTTGAAAGTAACAAATTTCAAGAGCTGACACAGGTACCAGCTATCTAGTTCATGTGACAATGTTAAAAGGGTGGTGGTCGTTGCATCCTGTTCAATATGGGACCCATATAGCAACGCATATAAAATACATTGACCATTGCCCTTTAATCGTTGCAATGTGACATGAAACAATTTTAGTCTGTACTTAGTAAAGTGTGACGATGAATGCTCATACAATAAACCATCACACAATATTCAGTCTTTGTAATAGTTACGTTTATTTCATATTTGCTCTAATAATAGGTGTGTCATTAAAATAACTCTTATTTTAACACATTTCCTCCTAAAAACTCCAGACATACCAAAATCATTGTGAAATAAAGGACTCGCCACGCAATGTGTTAATAATCCTGGTACCAGTTTCCTCTTTCCATCAAAAATTCACAAAATAGTTCTGTTTATCATCTGCACTTTCTTTCAGAAGATTGGGACAAAAATTTTTTGAGTTAAAACTGAAAATTGACTCAAATTTTGTCTGTTGGCTCTAAAATTAGAGTTCATTTCCAGAAACATTGAAGAATATAAGAAAGTTCTGAGCGAGAAATTCTGGTGGTGAAAAGGTTATATGTGCTCTGTTTGTTATGCACTTCTAGATAGAGTGAATACAGTAATTATATCGTTCTCACCATCTATGTTTTATTTGATCACGTTTATTTGAACCAGATGTTTAATCATCCTCAAAATGCGAAATTTGAAAACCTGAATCAATAAATGAAATTACGACTTTATTATAAACAGATTGTTTTTGTAAAATAATTTGATGCATGTTAATGTTAGAACTAATGTTGGAATACACTGTATTTAATTGTACCTGCATGTATGTAATCTGAGGTATTTGCAGAAAGATACAGTCCATTGAACTTGAGACCTTATGTGGTTTATGGGTCACAATAAACAGTCATGTAAACAACTTGGCACAATTGTACTGGTATGTCTTGACTTGAATGAAAGATACAGTACTGACCGCAAGAAATGTATAACTACACATGTATGACTAGCAGTTAACAGTCAGTTTATGGTCCTAACTTCTTTACATGAATACTAACAAATCAAGCGGATAAATTACAAAACAGAACAATTTTCGTAGTCAACCTGCTTAAAAAGAACTGCACACGTGCATGCTCTACTGTAGTATTAATGTTCATGTTTTCATCTTTGCCAGTCAAGGTCTGTTCATTTGGCTGACACATCACCACTATATCTTGGCAGTTTCTATTCACCAAGCGTGTATTTGATTGCACCCTCTTTTGCAATTGGACTTTCCATCATTTGTTAGTCCCCGTTCGAACGTAGTCCGAAAACGGGGACTTGTGTTTTGCCCTGTGTGCGTGCGTCCGTCCGTCCGTCCGTCCGTCCGTCCGTGATCACCTGTATCTCGAACATGCATGGACCGATTAAGTTCAAACTTCACTCATACATCACACATTATATGGGACATATGCACATGCATTTTTTTCATGATCCGATTAACGATAGCCGAATAGCGGCCATTTTAAGGCCGAAAATGCATCAAAATCACACATTTTCACCATTCCGGACCCGGATCTCAGTTATGCATGGACGGATTTCAGTCAAATTTGGTACATACATTAAACATAATAGGACCTTGATGCACGTTATTTTTTTTTGGATCGGGTTTGAAATGGCCGACTGGCGGCCATTTTGTTTAAAAAATTCAGTTCTGTATCCGTATCCGAGACATGCTTGGATTGATCGAGTTCAAACTTCACACACACAAGGTACATCATGTCACAAGTATGTATGTGCATTTGTTTCATGAACT